GTGCTGCTGGGTAAACCTCAGCGCACCTTATGGAAGCTTAATGCGATGTTAAAATTTATGCTATAATAACACTATATTTATTATTATTCTGTGCTACTATCAAGTGTTTTTTTTTTAATATTTAATTGTTTTGAAAAAACGTGGTATTTTTTAAACGGTTTTATTAACTCGCCCTGTTTATTTTCTTTGAAAATGTATAACTTATTTTGAAGTATTTGAAGTAATCGCTTCTTGGTTGGATTTCTCCTTTAACTATAAATATTTTGCTAACAACACATCTGACTTAAGTATTTTTGTTCATAATCAGGCGCTGATATCCCCCATAAACATAAACAATACCCTATTAATAATCATCACATAATAACTCAATCACATAAATGCATTATTTTTATAATAATATTTTCATTGTTTATCGAGTCAATAACATGTTGTGGTTACTCTAAATACTTTAAATAAATGCCATCTAGTAAACTATGGATGTATCTACAAACTTCCCTTGCGTGTTTGTAATACCACTGAATCTTAACAACTGTTCTCAACAGAAAAGGGTCTGCGGCCTGCGCCCCTCGTTAGATGTCGTTTCATTTTCCCAAAGCACGCAACCTCTGCAAAACTAACTGTACCAAACATTTGCAACTCTAAAAGTAACTAGATGTCGCTCCGCGCTGAGCGCCGTTTTCTTAGCCCGCGGTGTCCAGATTTTTTTTCCTGTAAAGACCCTCGGCGCCCGACGCTGTGAAAGCATACTTACCTGGCGTAGGGGACACCGTGATCACGAAGGCGGTTCCCCCAGGGCGAGGCCGGTCCATTGCACTGCGGACGGGTTGACCCCTGCGATTATCCCTAATGCGGATAACTCGGACGCGTAATTTTTGGTAGTGGGGACTGCGTACGCGCCGTCCCCCCCTAAAACCTAGACATGATTTAAAACGATTATCGTAGCCAAGACATTCAGAAATACGAGTGCTGTGGGTCAACCAACCTCTAACACAGTACACAACATAATAATGGGCTTTATCTTACCTACATAAAATTTAGTCTCTATTTTTACCATACATGCGTATTCCCAGTTTAATGCGATATTTATACTATAATAACACTGTAAAGTTACAATTTGTTGCTGCTACTATCAACTGGTATTTTTTTAAATATTGCATTGTTTAGAAAAACGTGGTATTTTTTAAACGATTTCATTTAGCTTGCTCTTTTTATTTCGTTTGGAAATGTATAACTTATGTATTTTGAAGTAACATCGTTACTTGGTTGGATTTCCGTGATTTCTCCTTCTACTTTAAATACATTATTATATTTGGCTAAAAACACATCTGACATAAGAATTTATGTTCATAATCAAGCGCCGCCATCCTCCATAAACATAAACAATATCCCAATTAATAGTCATCACATGTAACTCAGTCCCACATGCGTTATTTTTATAACAATCTCATTTTTTATTGATTTCTAACATGTGGTTGGCAACCATTGGTTGCCCTAAATACTTACTTTAATTTAATGCCATCTAGTAAACTATGGATGTGTCTACAATCTCCCTTCTTACATGTTTGCTGTTTTAAGGAATCTAAACAACTATTCTCAACAGAAAAGGGTCTGCGGCCTGCGCCCCTCGTTAGATATCGCTTCATTTTCCCAAAGCACGCAACCCCTGCAAAACGAGAACCGTACCAAACATTTGCAACTCTATAAGCAACTAGATGTCGCTCCGCGCTGAGCGCCGTTTTCTTAGCCCGCGGTGTCCAGATTTTTTTTCCCGTAAAGACCCTCGGCGCCCGACGCTGTGAAAGCATACTTACCTGGCGTAGGGGACACCGTGATCACGAAGGCGGTTCCCCCAGGGCGAGGCCGGTCCATTGCACTGCGGACGGGTTGACCCCTGCGATTATCCCTAATGCGGATAACTCGGACGCGTAATTTTTGGTAGTGGGGACTGCGTACGCGCCGTCCCCCCCTGAAACTCTTGACACGATTGAAATCAATGTCTTTCCGTAATACTAGAGTGCTAGGACAACCTCTAACACAATGTATGAAAGCTTAATGTTCTTAATTCTTATCCACACGATATAATCTCTATTTTTACCAAATACGCAAAGGCGTAGCGACAGCGCACATTAGGTGATAAAACACGACCACAAAATGCATGCGCGCGTCATTTCATATTATTATTATCGTGTTATCGCGACATGTCGCGGAGTCGCAAAGACAGCTAATCTAAATAATTATAACTCAAAGGTGACTGACTGACTGACATAGTGATCTATCAACGTACAGGACGGATCGGGCTGAAATTTGCCATGCAGGCAGGTAGATGTTATGACGTAGGCATCCGGTAAGAAAGGATTTTACGAAATTCCACCCCTAAGGGGGTAAAACGGGATCCACGCGTACGAAGTCGCGGGCATCCGCTAGTATATGATATGACGCCATAATGACGCGCGCATGCGTATTGTAGCCGCGTCTGTCGCCGTGTTTTGTCGTCGAATGTGCGCTGTTGCGTATAGATCTTATCCATCCTTTATTACTGCGAAATAGCTGCTAATATCACGTGGTATTTTTTTTTAGAAAGAAAGAAAGAAAGATACATTTATTACAAACGACCTATTCCATATTTATGAAAGTGTGTTATCTATTGGTAAGAAAATATCTACTTCTTATTAAATGACATCACTTCTTGGTTGATTTATCGTGTAATTAATATTTTGTGCAAAGCACATCTAACTAAATTATTTTTTTCTCTCATAAACTTACACAATATCCTAATAATTGATAACTTATTACGTTATATCCCAATCACAATTAATCGGTTATCACCAATTACTCATTAGTCACACATGCATTATTTTTATAGATTCATAATTTCATATTAATAATTTATGATGTGGTTTCACTAAATATTTTCATTAAATGCCATCTAGTAAACTATGGATGTAACTATAAACTTCCCTTACGTGTTTGGTAAACCACTGAGTCTAAACAAATTTTCTCAACAAAAAAGGGCCTGCGGCCTGCTCCCCTCGTTAGATGTCGCTACATTTTCCCAAAGCACGCAACCCCTGCAAAACTGTAACCGTACCAAACATTTGCAACTCTAAACGCAACTAGATGTCGCTCCGCGCTGAGCGCCGTTTTTTTAGCCCGCGGTGTCCAGATTTTTTTTCCCGTAAAGACCCTCGGCGCCCGACGCTGTGAAAGCACGGTAATACTATCATACAGTATTGTAACTTCATATAAACGGACGAAACGCGAGCTTTCCTTCGAAATTCAAATCTCGGTATGCGCTCGACATGCAAAAGTCGGGGGTGTCGCGAATGTGCCACAGTAATAAACGGACTATGTGTTGTTTTTTAAACAGTAAGCGCTCTTTTTTTATGAAAATAATTACAAGTACCTATTTATACAGGGTGTTAGGTAAATGGGTTTATAAGCCGACACTAGCCCATGTTAACATTAAATGGTATGGTGAAGTCAGTGATATCATCATTTATTTTTTTTTAATTTTCATACAAAATAAAATTTATAAAATCTGATTGTATGAAAATTAAAATTAATAAATGATGATATCAATTTTCTGACTTCACCATACCATTTATATGCACATGTTAACATGGGCTAGTGTCGGCTAATTAACCCATTTACCTAACAACCTGAATAATAATCAAGCATTTTGTACGCCTCAGTCGAGGCGCATACATTTTACAGTCGCAAATTTATAAGATTTGTTTGTTACTAAATCTTAACACAATTTATTTTTTTAATTAAATCTACTAATCACAAAACAACATGCATTTTTATCCTATTTCATTCACAAAGAATTTAATTTGTCAAAATAAAATAAAAAATACATTTACAAAACTAGATAGAAATTCTAAGTAGGCAGATGTCATGAAAATAGGGCCTGCAGGTGGGCAGCCCTATCGCATGTTGTCATACCGTGAGGTTCCGCGCGGCTGTTGACATTTATTTCAAAAATATTGTCGAGTTAGAATACTGTATAGATAGTATTACCGTGGTGAAAGCATACTTACCTGGCGTAGGGGACACCGTGATCACGAAGGCGGTTCCCCCAGGGCGAGGCCGGTCCATTGCACTGCGGACGGGTTGACCCCTGCGATTATCCCTAATGCGGATAACTCGGACGCGTAATTTTTGGTAGTGGGGACTGCGTACGCGCTGTCCCCCCGGAAACTCTTGACCAAGGTCTTCGATTCCTGCAATCTCACCATGTTGAGTATGATACCAGCGCAGGATGACAAACTACAAACCTGTCCTAGAAAATCATCCCCTTTTACTTTGATCTGCTGGTGAAACTTCTCATTTAACGCAAGATGGGTTTTCAAACAAATAATTTCACGAATACCTACACTTGAATAAGAACGTCTACAATAATAGTCTACACTACATGCATTTTTTTTTCCAACGCATTTTGTTACACATTTTCTTACAACCTATGGCATGTGGGCGTAGTGTGAGTTTACATCAAACGTATTCGATGAAGATTTTAGTTCTTGTATGTATCCGCACTGGAACGCTGTACAATCCGTTTTACATTTATGTAATTTTTTACGCACTCGATATCGTATACGTTTTCTGTAAACTCGCACTACGCCCCCTGAACATTAAATTTTAACACTTCATGCCGCGCAGGACTCAATGAGGGCTATCGTTTTTATACTTAAGGCGATTAGAGTCCTCAATGACCTTGGGCGTTTGACCTTCACGCCGCGAGCAACACCCGCGTACCCCGCACCAAAAACTCCGATTTGACACCGATCAAAAATACACGGGCATAGGTAGATACAGAATAGAAGCTCNGATAGTTCTCCTACCACTTTAGCGCTCACCAGTTGGTGCCACTGTCTTCGCTACTAGCAAGTGACAGGACCTTACTCTACAGTGGCGCTAACTGGTGAGCGCTAAAACGATAGCCCTCATTGTATCTTCTCGGCATCCAGATTTAATTACTAATCACCCTCATTCTCCATCAGGTCATGGCGCGAAAACATCAAGCTTGTCAACACAGAGCGCATCAAGATCGAGAACAAAGACTACCACACCGACTTCACGATAGTGAACGCTGTGCGCAGAGACACCGGCAAATACAAGCTGCGCGCTGAGAATTGCAACGGGTTTGATGAGGAGACTGTGGAGCTTACTGTGTTGAGCAAGCCTGGATCGCCTAAAGGTGAGTTTGGAATATAGACTTTATTTAATGGTAATTAGACTTGAAAAACACGCAGGCACAAAAATGTATGAATAACACATATTACAAAATCATATCTGGCGATTATTAAAAAAAGTAACAATTAAAATGCCGTAGTAAGCAATGATATATCATATAAACATCTTAGGTAGTAAGTTGCGTTGATACGCCGTCATCTGTACAACGTGACACATTTTCGGAATTGGTAATGTATACAAATAGGTACATATAATAATTTGCAGCAATGAATTTTTTGAAAGATTTTTGATTTGGTATACAAAATACTTATTCTTGTATGTGTAGCTCCAAATAAATGTAGGAATTGAAATGCGGTTCTAATTCCCACGTATTTATTTGCCCGAGATAGAAAATAATAAAAATAATAATTCAAAACAATCGTCGTTCGTCTACACGTCGTCGTACGTCACACTCACACACTCTTCCTTGAAACGGAACATAAGGATATGTGAAAACATCCTTACGTTCCGTTTCGCACTCATATCCTACATAAATGTCAACAAAAGAGTTTCACATCTTCTTGTCTTGTATTTCTTAGACAAGCAGCACAATTAAGCCTGATGAAACTAGTAAAAAAATATACGCAATCAGCTGGGTTCTTTCTCTCAACTCTTTTACATAAAGAATTTGAAACATGAATACCATTTCCTCTCCAGGCCCGTTGGAAGTATCGGACGTCCACGCCGAGGGTTGCAAGGTCAGATGGGAGAAGCCAGAAGACGACGGCGGCTCCCCCGTCAAGGAGTACGAGGTCGAGAAGATGGACCTCGCCACAGGCAAATGGGTGCGCGTGGGCAGGTTAGTCAACTCATTTTATCCTGCATAGGATCCTGTAAAAAACGGGATGTCTCCGTGGGAAAGAGCTCTTACGCCCGGAATAGAGCTCTGTGATTGGTTCGTGTGTCACCCTGTGCATCCATGCGCACTGTGAGACCTCATAGTAAGGTTTGTGAATACGGGCGTACACCGACAGTTTGAAGCAGCTAGTACCTACAGCTTCCAGCTGCAACTGCATAACAAACTTCTATGTAAACACTCACGGAACCGCTCGAGCAGTTGTCACTGCTTCGGATGGGTGGCAGCAAGGAAGACCTGTTGATTGAAAAATTAAAATAGCTGTTGACTATGATGTCTGTGTATATTGATCAGTAGGCTAACTGCTCGAACTGTCCGTATATGGCAGGTCAGTGCGCTTTATCTCAGGATTAGGACTCTAAATCAAATTACACATTCTGGTTGCAAAATAGCTTCCATTACAACTACATTAGGCCTGGTTACCACCAAGCTGAAAAGTGTCGGGTGTATTGGAAATAATGAAATCTTTAAAACACTTTTCCGCTCTGCTTCCCTCTGCTCCTTTTGAAAACCGGGCCTAAGATCCAATTGTTTCTGCCTTCGCCTGTACAAACAAATCTTAGTTCATACTACCTTCCATTACAGAGTGGCCGGCGACAAGAAGCCTCTAGAGATGGACATCACCGGCCTGGAGCCTGGTCACCAGTACAAGTTCAGGGTCACCGCTGTCAACGACGAGGGAGACTCCGAACCGCTGGAGACTGAGAGAGCTACGCTGGCGAAGAATCCCTTCGGTGAGTACAGTGACAACCCTAGATCGAAGACTTGAGTTAAGCAAAATATTTAGTTAGTCTTCTTTGATGATTAAATTTTTCAAGAATTGATCAGGATCTGTATAATGAAATTGAACTGGAAATAAAAATAAACTATGTGGAATCAGCTTAGCGTGACGTCACTTTACACACTGCGCTGCCTGTGTGTTGTTTATCCGTTTTGGTGACGTCACATTCAATTTCTGTCTACGGCATTTTTAGACACTTTCTAAAAAAGAAAAGCAATGGATGGTTTGAAAACGCCAAAGTTCAAGAAATGTGAAAAATTAAAGAGATGCAGATGGAATTGGCGCTGGCTTGGTTATCTAAAAGTTTTTCTGTTTTAACTTGTTATCATGATCAGGTTATTTAGTTTGTAGCTTGTAGTGGACTGCAGGAGCATGACTCTAATTCATGAGAGCCAAATGGATTTAGCTTACATTTCCCATGCTGACCAGTCAACAAATTGATTTTCAACACTGCCCTAAGGAATTCGACAACGACCGGTCCTGCGCTGCCTTCATCTAGGTGCTTTCTGGGACCTTTACTAGGTCCACCTAGTGGGAAGCCAGCCTACACTACGTTTTCTTACTTATTCTAACTTATATTTATTGACATTTATCGAGGCAGCTTGAGCTGAACCTCATGGTCCTTTGTTTCCTGTATTTACTTTAGGCTGGTTTTAGAATCGCGCTGACCGCTCGCTGATCGTCATCGCTGACAAATCAAAATGTATGTAATTAAAGGGAACGTTCCTGAGTGACGCTGATCGCTCGGCGCCGACGCTTCATACATTTCGGCTGTCAGCGCTGACAGTCAGCGTGCGTCAGCGTGATTCTAAAACCATCCTTAGATTTAATTTTAATTGTAACTTTTAATTTTTGTTTGTGGGAAACAATAAATGATTGTAATTCATTTATTTATCACCAGACGTTTCGGACAAGCCCGGCAACGTCGAAGTGGCTGACCACGACAACCAGAGCGCTGAGATCAAGTGGGACCCGCCCAAGTCGGACGGCGGCGCGCCTATTCAGAAGTACATCATACAGAAGAAGCCCAAGGGCGGCGATTGGGAGAACGCTGCTGAGGTAAATGAGAATACATATAATACATAACATATGAATATAAGCTTTTTTAGCCGTTAAAACTCCGCAATCTTTCAAATTTTGCAAAAAGGCCAAGCGAGACAGTAGCAGTAGGTACCTACTTATGCATGAGACTGCAGGTTTATTTTACCTGCTTAGAGCTGAAAAAATAAAAAATCCTTTACGTAAGCTTTTAATAAACTAGGTTGTGCGCGCGTGGATTTTTCTGTGTCCATCAAATTAAGATACTGACGTGCGTTTGGCGGTAAAGTCTGAAATAACGTTACTAAAGTCCGGTCGCCGAGCACGTAGAATTTCGTCCAATGACCCCAAGCTACCCATCCTTATCGCTCGCGCTCGCATACTCACTGCGGCCGCCCGTCGCAAAGTCGGACTTTACATTCATTGACACGATGTAACTAAGAATGTCTAACAAATGTTCATTTCAGGTTCCTGGAACTCAGAACTCAGGAAAGGTTGAGGGTCTGCCGGAAGGCAGCGAGTACCAGTTCCGCGTGATCGCCGTGAACAAGGCCGGACCTTCCGAGGCCTCTGAGCCGACCAAGATGACCACCATCAGGCATAAGGCTTGTGAGTATTATAGCATTTTCCACCTTGAAGCTAAGGTGTTTAGGAAAGTCTCATTAGCCTAATGGCGGAGATCAAGTTACTTCTAAGCCCATATTATTGACATGAAAAAGAAATGTTTTTGCGAACATCAGTTAGGCCACTGACGAGTTAAGGTCATGTGACTCGTTAGTGGCTATGACTTACTGGTGAGCAAAAATAAGAAACTGGGCTACTGCATCAGTTGAATTCAGTTGGCGCCAGATACGAATATGACCCTAAGATGTGGCCAGTACTTATAGTGGGTGCAAATACAGCAGTTGTCAAGTCAGAGAGTACAGTTATGTAAAACGTCACACAACTAACTTGAGACCTGAGATATCAGTGACGATTTGCTATGTAGACTCCACTTTCCCTCAATACAGGAAACTTTTCAGGCCTATATTTCAAAACAATGATTAAAAATGAAACGTATTTTTCCAGTGAAACCTCGCATCGATCGCACGAACCTCAAGGCGTTGGCAGTGCGCGCAGGCAAGCCAATCTTCTTCGACGTCAACGTGAAGGGAGAGCCCGCGCCTAAGGTGCAATGGTTCCAGAAATGGAAAGGAGAGGAGAAGGAGGTAAGTTGAAAGAATTAATTAGTAATTAATAGTGATGCAACGAATACTTTTTTACGAATACGAATATTCGGTAAATGTCTACTATTCGGCGAATACGAATATTCGTATTCGTTGCATTACTAATTAATTACCTCGTTTCAGCCGAATGACATCTACTGCTGGATAACAGCTTCCCCCAAAGATTTCCCGCATATAGCTACTTTCCGCGACCTTCACCAAATCGTCGGTCCACCACCAAAACATACGAAAGAGAAAAGAAGAGAAAGGCTTAAATTCTTTAATGTTTAATGGCTACTCAAACGTGGAAACTGAATTGTAAACTGTGGAATTTTATTTTATTTTACTCATATCACCTTCAGGGAAAAAAAGATCTCGTGGCATTTGATGCAACAATAAGACACCTCTCTCAGATATGCGCTTTACTTATTCTTATTTCTAAAGTTGTCGAATTACGTAGAAGAAAATATTTACTTAAGGAGAGGAATGGCCTGCAAACTTATCAAACTGAACACTGAGTGTGTTTAGTGACTTTTTCAGTTCCATTTCAAATCTAACCCCCCAATTTCCACTCCCCAGGTCACAGAAAACGTCATCAACGTAGACTACAATACAAAACTAGACGTCAAGGAGTCCGTCCGTGCTATGACCGGCACCTACCGCATCCTGGCCACCAACCAGCACGGTTCAGACGAGGCTGAGGTGGAGATCACAGTCTTATCCGCGCCAGGCAAGCCCGGCGGCCCGCTGAAGGTGGCTGACGTCACCAAGGGCGGCTGCAAGCTGTCGTGGAAGAAGCCCGAGGATGACGGAGGTGAGTCTCATGTACCAACCAGCACGGTTCTGACGAGGCGAAGTGGAGATCACAGTCTTGTCCGCGCCAGGCAAGCCCGGCGGCCCGCTGAAGGTGGCTGACGTCACCAAGGGCGGCTGCAAGCTGGCGTGGAAGAAGCCCGAGGATGACGGAGGTGAGTCTCATGTACCAACCAGCACGGTTCTGACGAGGCGAGGTGGAGATCACTGAGCGCGCCAGGCAAGCCCGGCGGCCTGAAGGTGGCTGACGTCACCAAGGGCGGCTGCAAGCTGGCGTGGAAGAAGCCCGAGGATGACGGAGGTGAGTCTCATGTACCAACCAGCACGGTTCTGACGAGGCTGAGGTGGAGATCACAGTACTATCCGCGCCAGGCAAGCCCGGCGGCCCGCTTAAGGTGGCAGACGTCACCAAGGGCGGCTGTAAGCTGTCGTGGAAGAAGCCCGAGGATGACGGAGGTGAGTGTCAAATAATATAAACTTCAAGGTACTTACTGTCTGTCTACTCAGGTCTGGGTGACTAGCTGGTGCTACATCATAAGCATCATCATTTCAGCCATGGGCACGTCCACTGTTGAACATAGGCCTCCTCGAATGATTTATAGTGTCCGAGTTTCTTGCGCTGCTTCTTCTCAGCACTGGCCCATTTATTGTCCTGAAGCGGTGGTAAGGTTAATACTGGGACGTGTAAAAGTGCTTTTTACACGTCCCAGTATTAACCTTACCACCGCAAAAGCCTACTTGCATAAATAAATGAGTTATATTTTCATAATATACGGTTAGTAGCGGCTTGCATCCAGCGGTAGCGTCCTGTTACCTCTATGAAATCTTGAGTCCAGCTTTTGGGTGGACGCTCTACATACTGTTGTGATTTAATATACCTTTTTGTATTTGCATATTCCATTGTAACAAATCTTTATTTCTTTCTCTCCCCAGGCAAGCCCGTCTCCGGCTACGTAGTAGAGAAACTAAACAAGGCCACCGGCCGATGGGTGCCGGTCGGCAAGACCGATGACACTGAGATGGAGGTCAAGGGTCTCCAAGAGGGAGAGGAGTACGAGTTCAGGGTCAAGGCAGTCAACGAGGAGGGCGAGTCCGAACCGCTGAAGACTGACCACTCGATCATCGCTAAGAACCCGTATGGTAAGTGGATAGAGTTCATTATTGAAATCTTGAAGGTTCATCAGAGCCAAAGGCGATCCAATATCGATATATCCAAAATCTGGTAGCAATTTTACATATTGTCGGCGCGTCTTGCTGCTGACCTATTTAGCAGCAGCTCTACGTGATCAAAAAGTTTCTACGTCAAAAAAAAAAGTCTCAAGATTTTTCTATCAAAAAATGCTATTACTATGATATAAATTATAATCCAGCCAGGCTAGGATGTTCGGCATGATAAAATCCTATTAATGATTTTAAATAACATTCATCATCATCATCATTTTAGCCATAGGACGTCCACTGTTGAACATAGGCCTCCCCCAATTACTTCCACATCGCACGGTTGGTAGCGGCCTGCATCCAGCGCGTTCCTGCTACTTTTATCAGGTCGTCGGTCCACCTTGTGGGTGGACGTCCCACGCTAACATTACTTAGATGACATTATATCGCGTAAATTCGATAAAATGGCGAAATAAAAGCTTATCGCGGCCTGCTTCTTAGGCTTACTGACCTTTGATATGGGTCATAGTATTTAAGATGACTTGTTTTCTTATTAAAACTATACTGAGACGTGTTCTAAAAACCCAAATTACTATATTTCTCCAGATATCCCTGGCAAGCCGTCCGTACCAACCATTGAAGATTGGGACGTGGACCGCGTGGACCTCAAATGGGAGGCGCCCAAGAACAACGGTGGCGCTCCCATCACCGGCTACGTCATTGAAAAGAAGGAGAAGTTCGGACAGTGGCAGGAGGCGCTTGTCACTTCGGTGAGTGTTCATTTGATACTTTTACAAATATATTCATCATCATCATCATCATTTCAGCCACAGGACGTCCACTGCTGAACATAGGCCTCCCCCAATGACTTCCACATCGCACGGTTGGTAGCGGCCTGCATCCAGCGCCTTCCTGCTACCTTTATCAGGTCGTCGGTCCACTTTGTGGGTGGACGTCCCACGCTGCGTTTTCCGCACGCTGCGTAATGAGGAGATCCGTAAACGAACTAAAGTCGCTGACATAGCCCGACGGATCAGCAAGCTGAAGTGGCAGTGGGCAGGGCACATACTTAGTACGCAGAACTGACGGCCGATGGGGCAGCAAGGTTCTGGAATGGAGGCCACGTACCGGAAAACAAATATATTGTTTTCCATCGAACTTTTTTTTAGTTGGATTGTAAGAACTGCGTTCAACAACGACCAGAATAACCCTCGTTCAGAATTATTCGTAAACGTTAGAATTCTCAATTAGATCGAAGAATTTTCACGTCACTCAACATCTCTGTGTCTCATTGGCTTAGTCTTATGACAAGAGTTCAAATTAACTTCTACTAACGGTCAAGCTGTAGATTCTGGGTATACAGGAGTAACAGCCGATGGGAACGGAAGGTGGGAATAATCATATTTCTAAAGTTAAAATTCTAGTCAACTGTCTCAGCTCTACTTAGATTGCTACCAGCTAAAGCCTGGTCCGTGAGCACGTATAATCCCGTCCAACGACCCCAAGCTACCCATCCTTATCGCTCGCGCGTAATTATATTGTTGTCGCGACTGTGTGACGCGCGCCCGCAGTGAGTGTGCGAGCGCGACAGCAACATAATTACGTGCAAGCGACAAGGATGAACAGCTTGGGGTCATTGGACGGGATTCTACGTGCTCACGGACCAGGCTTTAGGTTACTTCGTTCGTTTCAGCCGAATAACGTCCACTGCTGGACAAAGATCTCCCCAAGGATTTCCACAAAGACCTGTCTTGCGCCGCCCGCATCCAAGCACCTCCCGCGACCTTCACAAGATCGTCAGTCCACCTAGTGGGGGGCCTGCTCACACTACAGAACGCTCCATCGCCCTTTGGGTGACATTGAGCCTTCTTATGAGGCTTATAGTAAGCGACCACGTCTCAGGTTTTACTTATGTGCTAGTTATTTCAGCTACAAATATTTTAAAACAAAATGTTCCCTTCCAGACGCCAGAATGCAAGGCCCGCGTGCCGGACTTGAAGGAAGGCAACACGTACCAGTTCCGCGTGCGCGCCGTCAACAAGGCCGGCCCGGGAGAACCCGGCGAGCCCACGCAACCGCACGTGGCTAAGGCCAGGTTCTGTAAGTATCTATGGTATAATAAACTAATTTAGATGATAGATGATCAACAATTGACCGCATAAGACCTATAGAGAAATGGGAGTGGCTGAAAATCAATGCAGCTTGAGTATTTTCAGGCAGCATTAGCTGAGCCACCTCCAATTGCTTCCATAAACTATGTCAATCTATGTCAATCAATTGTAAGGCATAAATTCTCTAAAACACGATTCTAGCCCTAAGGGTTTAGTTTGTAAAGTTTGCTCGAGTAATAATAATATGGCAAATTAGTGAGAAGGCAGCATCTTATACATAATATCAGTAATTTCAAGACACAGCTTCTGTAGAAGATACAAACTTAGCTTTGAAACCTGGTACAATGTGCCAAATTAGGTAGTTGACAGCATAAACAGACAATTCTAGGGCACACTTCTCTAAAAACACTATTCCAGTCAAGTATTTTTCAATCAACTGTGAATTCAGATTTTTAGAACATCAGATTTTAGTAACTTTGATATTAATCAGTAGGTAGTTAGCCAATGAAGGCTACCGTATGAACGCTAAAGCAGTAAAAACTCACGGATTTGCTCTAAGGTGGCACAACTGTAAAGTCTTGTCAGTTGCTAGTGGTGCCAACTACTGAGCGCAAAGACAGTACCTACTCTAAATGTTCATCACATTCTGAACTATGCAGCCCCGTCCATTGAGTATCTTATCCAGTAGATTACTCCTCAACTACTGTAAACTTTTAATTAAATTCTGATCCGTCCAGCCCCTACAATAAAGTGTATTTTCCAGTGAAACCGCACATCAACCGCGACAAGATGACGGCGATCCGCGTACGCGCGGGCACCACCATCAAGTTGGACGTCGACATCAAGGGTGAACCGCCACCAACCAAGACCTGGACCTTCGCTAAGAAGGTGTGTATTAAGGCTATGTGTAGTCTTTGGACAATTCTACACAGCGCCAGCTAGCCCCAAAGTAAGCAACTTAATGCTTGTGTTATGGGTGCTAGCTTAACGGATATAAGGTAAACGGCTACTAGTTCGTGANTTGGTATGACAGTATTTGAGTACTATAGTCCACTTGGTCACTGGCATTTTTCCACTAGAAAAAAGAACAAGAAAGACCTCTTATGTCGCCAGTATTTATGTGGTATTTATTAACAGTTATTTGACCTGAAACAAACGAGTATATTTCCGATCATACCCGTGACAATGTAGTACCAATTATGGGCAATAGCGCATACACTGTTATATGTTAATAAACATACCAGAAAAATACTGATAATACAAATTTCTAAATGCCTACGAAGAGACATATTGCATTAAATTACGTTGCAAGTATTGAATCAATTTTTTGGGCAATCAGCTTTCGATCAGCAGAGTAATAAAACTGCCACGAATCGGTGTTTTAGAGTATGTATTTAAGCAAGTATATTTTATTATTACAACCAGTAAAGAGTTACTACGTCAGCAATGTAATTTAAGTGTGATTTATCATAGGCATTATGACTTCCCCTTATCCTTAAGTATTTCAGAGTTAATGTTGTTTATATCAGCTTACCACTAAGATTATACCTAAAATATAAATACCATTTCCTCTCCAGGCCCGTTGGAAGTATCGGACGTCCACGCCGAGGGTTGCAAGGTCAGATGGGAGAAGCCAGAAGACGACGGCGGATCCCCCGTCAAGGAGTACGAGGTCGAAAAGATGGACCTTGCTACCGGCAAATGGGTGCGCGTGGGCAGGTCAGTGAAATATACCTACTGTTGTAATATTTTACTGTAGATTTTAAGAACATCTCACTTTACAACCCGGTTTAGTTAACTGGAAGCCGTGACGTCACATCAACGCTCTAGGTTCGATTCCCAGATGGGACACAAATTCTAGCATCACTTTCGTTAGTGATGGTGAAAATCATTCAGATTGAGCACACTGGATCAGAGGTGGAATCTGTAAAGCAATCGTAATCATTTGACTGTTACAGTACGATAAAGTCAGCTAAACAAAGCGTTTGACAGAATAATCGTACGTTATGCACTGGGTGTACTAAAAACTAATTCGTCGAAAGAATCGGCCCTCACGGCATACTACGCCTACGCGTACGCGTGGCTGCGTTACGGCATTATCANTTATTATCCAAGTTATGGCACTCTGTAACACAAGTGCTGGGTCAACCTCTAGCACAGCTCTTAAGAGAGCTTAATCATACTTACAAGAAATTAATAGTCTCTATTTTTACTTTTTAGTATAGTTCGAACTAAATAGCTGCAGCATAGCAACCGAAACGTTAAGCCTTGAGTACATAATGTAACTCATTAGTAAATGTCGCGTTAAGGCCCGTGTTTTTCTATTTAAGTCGAAATGGAACGCGAAAATTTACAATCTTAATATGTAGTTCAAATTATCCATTAATAACACTACACCGAAATTGCTGCTACTANGGCATGCAGGTAGATGTTATGACGTAGGCATCCGCTAAGAAAGGATTTTACGAAACTCCACCCCTAAAGGGGTAAAACGGGATCCACGCGTACGAAGTCGCGGGCATCCGCTAGTATAATATGATAATATGACGCGCGCATGCGTATTATAACCGCGTCTGTCGCCGTGTTTTGTCGTCGAATGTGCCCTGTTGCGTATAGATAGGTATCTTATCCATCCTTTATTACAGCGAAATAGCTGCTACTATCACGTGGTATTTTTTTTCACCAACGATCTATTCCATATTTAGAAAAATGTGTTATCTATTGGTAAGAAAATATCTACTTATTAAATGACATCACTACTTGGTTGATTTATCCGTGTAATTAATATTTTGCGCAAAGCAGATCTAACTAAATTCATTTTTTCCCTCATAAACTTACACAATATCCTAATAATTGATAACTTATTACGTAATATCCCAATCACAATTAATCGGTTATCACCAATTACTCATTAGTCACACATGCATTATTTTTATAGATTCATAATTCATATTAATAATTTATGATGTGGTTTCACTAAATATTTTCATTAAATGCCATCTAGTAAACTATGGATGTAACTATAAACTTCCCTTACGTGTTTGGTAAACCACTGAGTCTAAACAAATTTTCTCAACAAAAAAAGGGCTTGCGGCCTGCTCCCCTCGTTAGATGTCGCTACATTTTCCCAAAGCACGCAACCCCTGCAAAAATGTAACCGTACCAAACATTTGCAACTCTAAACGCAAGTAGATGTCGCTCCGCGCTGAGCGCCGTTTTCTTAGCCCGCGGTGTCCAGATTTTTTTTCCCNGAGCCTTAATATACCGAAGTAGGGGGCACTTACCTTACTACTTATATACTTTTTTTTTTAAATACATAAATATTATACATAGTCACACCCAGACCCGTCACAGAAATTAAAATTCATCATTTCAATCTCTGCCCGGCCGGCATCGAAAGAACATCAGTGTGCTTAGTGCGAGTTTACACCAAATGCCATCACTAGCGACTGCGTAAAAAATGACATGAAATGTATGACATATTTGAAAATTATAAATAACTTGACAAAATATAAAGTATAGTTGAGATGCGACTCTTAACGCTAAAAAATTAAATAACTATGTATGACATATTGTTAAGCGCCCCTAGCGTATACTATCAAGAACTAAAATCTTCATAGTTTGTTTTGACGCACGAGCTAGCGACGACGTTCATTTTAAACTCGCACTAAGCACACTGGTGTAATTTTTGTGGCAAAGTACAAACTACAACCCAATCAAGCAACTGCGCACCTCGCTGGAATGTGACTCTCCGTTGCACTTACCCGCACAACTCACGTTCGCCCCGTCTGTACCAGATCGTTGATGTGACGTCAGCTGTCAGATGCGCAGTTGACTCGATCGTGTTGTACATGAGATTCTATAGTGTTTAAATTGACGTGCTGTCGTCCGTATAACAAAATACGGCCAGTGAGTTTATGGTATTCAAAATTTTAATTAATGGAAAAGCCATCCAAGTTTAATTGAGTATCCCTTTTCCGCTATGAATAGTTCCCTAAAATTGTCGGACTGCATTCAGCTAGACTCCATAAATTCCAGAGTGCTTCTAGTCAACATAAAAATACTGCTGTATGAATAATTATATGCTACCAAATAAACATCAAGGTAAAGCAGGCCTTATCTGTAATGCAGTCATAGTATCTCTGCAGCTCTACTTCATGAATAGAATAGAAAACTTTTTATTTGCAAGAAAGGTGTACAAGCAGGCAAGACATAGATACAAACAGAGAGAAATATACAAGTGGACAATTGACTGCTTGTGCCCCTCTGACAAAAAGGCGTGCATCAAGACCGCCAGGGCTTGTCTTGAAACTGATTTTCAGCGGGGCTTGCCTTAATGTGATAGGAATAATTTATTATTTTTATTTTTTGGATCCAGGTCCTGGAGACCGGCCCAGGCTTGAAGCTGGAGAACGAGGACTACAACACCCGTCTCCAGATCTTCGACTCGTCCTGGGCCAACTCTGGCGTCTACACGTTGAAGGCCGAGAACGAATCTGGCGTTGACGAGGCTACAGTGGAAATCACTGTTCTTGGTAAGTTGCCACCTAATATTGAACCTTATTGCCTTGTTTCTAAGATCTACAATATGCAATGAAACATTTAGACTTGTTATGCTCGTCAGGACAGTTCTTTGCTGGAGATTGCGTTGCACATTTATCAGACCAAAGTTTCTTTGGTTTAAGAGGTAGTGATAAGCAATTTAAGAGGCTGATAAAGATGACAAATGCATCCGTTATTTATCTTAGCACCAGTTGTAATATTGTTCCGAAATGTTAAAGCGAGCTACTTTACGATGTTATGAGTGCCCTAAATAAATTATTTTAAAATATTCTTTAAATTAATAAAGAAATTCATTCTTGCTGTTTAATATTCGGCCAAAGGAAGGCCTACTACTGGACAAAACCTCTTACGGATTTTCCATTACGACCGATTTACTAAATCGGTCGTAATGGAAATAAAACTGCCTTATTAATCTTATCAATCTTTTCCCCCAGACAAGCCAGGCAAGCCTGAAGGCCCGCTGGAGGTATCAGACGTTCACGCCGACCACGTGAAACTGAGCTGGAACAAGCCTAAGCACACTGGTGGACTGCCACTGAGTGCTTACGTACTGGAAAAAATGGATACGCTTACTGGGAAGTGGGTGCCAGCAGGCACCATCGACCCAGACAAGACCGAGGCTACCGTCACTGGTAAGTCACTGTCACTGATGAGTGGCTGTCACTGATGAGTCGCTTTACGGTATAGATGACCCAAGCACTGTCCCACCAAACTCAATGACGGGGGCGCTACCATCGTTCAACTATATGGTTTCCATCATGGCAAAAATCGGAACCAGCGATCCGGTATTGACGGTGGCGCCCCGCTGTCAATGTCATGGATAGGACAGTTCAGTATATTGGAACTATACTGATAAGTGTCGCTGTCACTGGGAGTAGTCACTGTCATGCTAATTAGTCGTCACTGGTAAGTATAGCTGACCCACGCTGAACTGTCCCACCAAACTCAATGACAGGGGGGCGCTACCATCGCTCAACTATATGGTTTCCAACATGGCAAAAATCTGAACCAGCGATCCGGTATTGACGGTGGCGCCCCACTGTCAATGTCATCGACAGGACAGTCCAGTATTTTGGAACTATAGTCGCTGTTACTGATGATTAGCTGCTGTCACTGTCAGTACAGTCACTGAGCTGGAACAAGCACACTGGTGGACTGCCACTCAGTGCTTATGTACTTGAGAAGATGGACACGCTTACTGGGAAGTGGGTGCCAGCAGGCACCATCGACCCAGACAAGACCGAGGCTACCGTCACTGGTAAGTCACTGTCACTGAAGAGTGGCTGTCACTGATAAGTCGCTTTACTGTATAGATGACCCACGCTGAACTGTCCCACCAAACTCAATGACGGGGGCGCTACCATCGTTCAACTATATGATTTCCATCATGGCAAAATAGGAACCAGCGATCCGGTATTGACGGTGGCGCCCCGCTGTCAATGTCATGGATAGGACAGTTCAGTATATTGGAACCATACTCATAAGTGTCGCTGTTACTGGGAGTAGTCACTGTCATGCTAATTAGTCGTCACTGGTAAGTAGCTGTTACTGATGATTAGTTGCTGTAACTGTCAGTACAGTCACTGTCTAAGATGGAATAAGCCTAAGTACACTGGTGGACTGCCACTCAGTGCTTATGTACTTGAGAAGATGGACACGCTTACTGGGAAGTGGGTGCCAGCTGGCATCATCGACCCAGACAAGATTGAGGCTACCGTCATTGGTAAGTCGCTGTCTAATTAGTCGTCACTGATGAGTGTTGCTGTTACCGATCATTAGTTGCTGTCAGTGTCAGTACAGTCACTGTCTAAGCTGGAACATTACTGGTGAGTCTCTGTCACTGAAGAGTAGTCATTGTCACTGATGCGTATTCAGTGTCACTGTTCACTGAATGGGATAAAACAAGAAAAACTTTTACTATGGAAAGTGATAATCTGCTCAAAACCGATGTACAGTTTAATCTATCCAATTTCGCCATTGGAGGTACACCGCTGAACATATTCCTCTCCAATGACTTCCAAATATGGCCGGTTGAAAGCGGCCCGTATCAATCACGTTCAGCAAACTTTTTTCTGTCTACTTAAAACAATGTAACTTACGCCCCACCCTTTTCTCACAGGCCTAGAGCCAGGCCACACCTACCAGTTCCGCGTCAAGGCCCTCAACGAGGAAGGCGAATCGGAACCCCTGGAGACCGACCACGGAACCCTAGCCAAGAACCCATACGACGTGCCAGCGCCGCCTGGCCTGCCAGACATCGTGGACTGGGATGAGAAGTCTGCCAAACTCAAGTGGGAACCTCCCATTAGGGATAATGGTGCCCCGATTACTGGATACATCATTGAAGTTATGGATAGAGACCGTGGAGAGTTTGTCAAGGTAAGCATAATTCTCTTTTACATAGGTATACATCACGTAGATGTTTCTTAATGTAAGGTAAGATCAGAATAAACCTGGTCACCAATGTAACAACTTTGTCCATGGATGCAAAAACATGGCCTTCGTTATAAACCCCACTCTAACTTGATTGTGAACAAAATGGCTTTGCTGTATTTCAGATGTTAGTCAAGCTAAGCTGTCTTGGAAGATATAATGTATTCCAAAGTGTGTTGGTTAGAAAGTTGTCCTTTCGAGCCGGAGTTCCAGCGTCTTTAGACAACATTCTCATGACAAGCCTCCAAGACCTTTTTAAACTGTGTAGTCTACCATTTTGAGATCGAAAGACTACCATGTTCAGAACCTTAACTTTGAACTCCTCCTATGTTCTTCTGATTAATTTCGTTGCGGACCAATGACAGTTTAACTTTCCCCCGGGACCTTTGACCTTCACTGGTTGGGTTTTTATTGGCGGTCAAACTATAGATCCTGGCTACATAGGAGTTGCAGCGGTGGGAATAGTCCCATACCATGTTCTCACGACAATATCTTATTCTTCCATCATCCCCAGGCTGCCGAGATCCAAGGCAACATTTGCCAAGGCACAGTGCCGAAGCTGGAGGAAGGCAACCAGTACCAGTTCCGTATCCGCGCGCTGAACAAGGCCGGCCAGTCGGAACCTTCGGAGAACACCAATTGGCACACCGCTAAGGCGCGATTCTGTAAGTATAAATTACTAGCTTTCCGCCCGCGGCTTCGCGCGCGTGGACTACATTATCTATATATTTTATGGAACCCTATTTTTTCAAAATAAAATTTAGCCTATGTTGCTCGTGGGTAATGTAGCTTTCGAATGATGAGAGAATTTTTAAAAACGGTCCAGTAGTTTTTGAGCCTATTCATTACAAACAAACAAACAAAGTTTTCCTCTTTATAATATTAGTGTAGAAAAGCATCACTTAAAAACAGAGATATAGATAATATAGAAAATCTTTATTCGACACGAAAATACAAATGAACAAAGAAAAATAGCTATACTTACATGGCTACAGTATATTACTTATATTGTGCCAAACTTAGCGTAGACTTACCGCTAACCAAAACCTAGTTCAAATTTGATAAAGTATAATTAGGATTGTGTCTATTGAAGTTCAACTTATCATTTTAAAGTCAATACCCTTTTTATCATTTGACAAGTAATTCAGTTCGTAATTAAGCTATATTTTCAAAGGTTCCTAATCAATTACTGTAGAAAGTTTTAATTTAGCATTGGCAACACTCTGTCTTACCCGTTCATAAAATTATAATTCAAAATCGACCTGAATAATCCAAAAAAATCTCTTTTCTTCCAGTGAAACCAAGAATCGACCGCACCAACCTGAACCCGATCACCGTTAAGGCTGGTCTACCAGTGTCTCTCGACGTCAAGGTCTTCGGAGAACCACCAGCGACCGTCACCTGGTTCTTCAAGGGAACGGAACTGAAGAACGGCGAGAACTTAGAGATTATCAACGTGGATTACAACACTAAATTCCTGATGACCAAGAGCAAGAGAGCTAATACTGGAAAGTACGTGATCAAGGCTAAGAATGAAGTGGGAGAGGATGAGGCTGAAGTGGAAATTACCATTCTTGGTGAGTGTTATTTGTGTTATGAACTTTTTGTAGGTGATATAAGGTTTAAAATTGAGGGAGAAATATTTTTGATAGTCTACATTTTGATTTGGAAGCTAGATTAGTATTAACTGTTGTAATAAAGATTAGAGAATCATTAACGTAACTGAAACGTAATATGATAGGATGCCTTTGTTGTCTTATGATAGTGAGTCGGATTTATTTCACCCTAAAGTCATGGGTTTGATGCCCAAGTTTTATCTGGAAATAGAACGAAAACGTTGGGATTTCCTGGGCCTAAAATACATGGAATATAATTATGTTGCCTATGCGGTTTGGTGTCGTGGAAGTTTCCGAACACTTTAGCTTGAATCGCGCTGAAAGTTCTTTTTCAAACAGTAAAATACAGTTACCTCAACACAACTACAAATGATTTTTTTCTATTTACCATGTCTAACCTATAATGTATTTCTACCACAGGCAAGCCATCCAAGCCCAACGGTCCACTGGAAGTCGCTGACGTCACCAAGAACGGATGCACTCTTTCATGGAAGAAACCGGACGATGACGGTGGCTCCCCCGTGGAGTACTACGAGATCGAGAAACTTGACCCGCTCACAGGTTTGTTAAGAAATAAGTTTCTAAAGTAATGTATAGGAAGCAGAAAGATAAAATCCAGCTTGACGGTATTTTCTGGGTTCGATTTCCATAGTGCATCCGTCATCATCACCTGACATAATCCATAGGCCTGAGTAGAACGTCAATGTGCAAAGAGATGGGTTTTCTATCCAACAAATAGAGACTTTTCCTTCCAATCATAATTGCCTATCGTTTTTTCTTGGTAAAAGAAGATCTTGGGATATACTCTTACATTATTGAAATATCACTTTTATATCACTTTTTGTAATCGTTCCCAGTTTCTTGGATAAGACCCGGTTTCCACCAAGGAAGACTATCTTTCTTATCTATCCCCCAGGCCTAATTTATTATCTTATCTATCCCCCAGGACAATGGATCCCGTGCGGCACTGCCAAGGACTGCAAGGCCAACATCACGGGCCTGCAGGAAGGCAAGCCCTACAAGTTCCGCGTCAAAGCCGTCAACAAGGAGGGCGAGTCGGAAGAGCTGGAGACTGAGAAACCGATCATCGCTAAGAATCCTTTCGGTGAGTTTGTTTATCCCTCTCACTCGTAGCGAGATGCTAGCTTGAGTGACAGAGACAGAGCCAAGGGCATCCCTACAAGTTCCGCGATAAAGCCGTCAACAAGGAAGGCGAGTCGGAAGAGCTGGAGACTGAGAAACCGATCATCGCTAAGAATCCTTTCGGTGAGTGCCTATTGTTCTTCCCTCTCTCTCGTAACGAGCTGCTAGCATGAGCGACAGAGACAGGTAGGCCAAGGACTGCAAGGCCAACATCACGGGCCTGCAGGAAGGCAAGCCCTACAAGTTCCGCGTCAAAGCCGTCAACAAGGAGGGCGAGTCGGAAGAGCTGGAGACTGAGAAACCGATCATCGCTAAGAATCCTTTCGGTGAGTTTTTTTATCCCTCTCACTTGTAGCGAGATGCTAGCTTGAGTGACAGAGACAGAGCCAAGGGCATCCCTACAAGTTCCGCGATAAAGCCGTCAACAAGGAGGGCGAGTCTGAAGAGCTGGAAACAGAGAAACCGATCATCGCTAAGAATCCTTCGGTGAGTGCCTATTGTTCTTCCCTCTCTCTCGTAACGAGATGATAGCATGAGTGACAGAGACAGGCCAAGGGCATCCCTACAAGTTCTGTGTCAAAGCTGTTAACAAAGAGGGCGAGTCGGAAGAGCTGGAGACTGAGAAACCGATCATCGCTAAGAATCCTTTCGGTGAGTTTGTTTATCCCTCTCACTCGTAGTGAGATGCTTGCATAAGTGACAGACAGGCCAAGGGCATCCCTACAAGTTCCGCGTCAAAGCCGTCAACAAGGAAGGCGAGTCTGAAGAGCTGGAGACTGAGAAACCGATCATCGCCAAGAATCCTTTCGGTGAGTGCCTATTGTTCTTCCCTCTCTCTCGTAACGAGCTGCTAGCATGAGCGACAGAGACAGGTAGGCCAAGGACTGCAAGGCCAACATCACGGGCCTGCAAGAAGGCAAGCCCTACAAGTTCCGCGTCAAAGCTGTTAACAAGGAAGGCGAGTCGGAAGAGCTGGAAACAGAGAAACCGATCATCGCTAAGAATCCTTTCGGTGAGTTTGTTTATCCCTCTCACTCGTAGTGAGATGCTTGCATAAGTGACAGAGACAGACGGGCCAATGGCAGCCCTACAAGTTCCGTGTCAAAGCTGTTAACAAGGAGGGCGAGTCGGAAGAGCTGGAGACTGAGAAGCCGATCATTGTTAAGAATCCTTTCGGTGAGTTTGTAAATATTTAGTTTTGTCCATCCTTTTCACTCATAGCAAAATTCTTGCATGAGTGACAAAGATGTATATACTGTACGGCTTTACAGTCACGCTTAGAAACAGTGAACACTTTACCTTGTAGACTAAAAAGTCTTGCCTTGCCATACCTCTTATAGTGAGAAGCTGGTGTAAGCTAAGATTATTCACGGCTTTAGGGAATATTCGCGAAAAGCGGTCAAAACCTCGAGAGGATTCCAGTAGCGAGGCCTACTGTCGACTAAGTTCTGTCTGTAAATTCAAACGCGTAAAAATAGAAGTTATTTACGGCGACAGTTCTCGTGATCAAAAAAAGAATCATAATGTTTTCTATAGCTCACTTCAAATACTCTTTCTTACCAAAAATCGCATCTCTAATTTGAGTAACGGTGACCCTTTTCTAACTTTTATCCCCTATTTTTTGTCCTATACGTTTACTGCTGTCTAATTTAGCTCATATTCATAAAATTTTCTTTATTACGAATAGACATAACTATTCCAGTACATTTTACTTGTTCTTCTCACTTTCAAAGATTACTAATTAGTTATTAATTTCACAGACGAGCCCGGCAAGCCCGGTCGTCCGGAGCCCCGGAACTGGGACAAAGACTTCGTGGAGCTGGAATGGAGCCCGCCCAAGGACGACGGTGGCGCCCCCATCACCGGCTACATCGTGCAGAAGAGAGAGAAGGGTGGAAGGTGAGATTATGGTTCCTATTATTATTTTCATTATTATCTTTTTAGCCACCGGACGTCCACTACTGAACATAAGCCTTCCCCAATGATTTGCGCCTTCCTGCTACCATTATGAGTCCATTTTGAAGGTGGACGTCCCACGCTGCGCTTTGGTTTCTATATATTATAGTATTTAATTACGTGCCAAGGTATGTTGCTTGAAGATTTATTACTCGGTAAATATTTATAGGCTCGAGATAGCACTTGCTATGACTGATAATCTGGATAATCAAGCTGTTGCCAAGCATTTTGTTTATATTATTACTGGTCGTAGATGTCAGAAAAATAGGATGTAAATAGAGTAGCTCCTTTAGATTTATTGTTTGCCGATGAAGGATTTGTCACACTATATGTGGTCTGCGGTCAGGTCAAAGTAAACGCAGCTCGCCTCATGTGTGATTATTTTGACCTGACCGCAGACCGCAATCAGTGTGACACATCCTTTTCTAATATTTATTCTTGTCAGGAGTGAAAAGTAAACTGAAGACAGAATCATAAAACAGTTCTTGCTGGCTCTAATCCTCGAAGTAAATTCGACTGAATTCTAAAATGGATTCGAATTTAGCCGAATTTACTTAGAGGACTTTATTCGATGTCGTTTTTAAATATGCTGCTTTAGAGCTCAAGGTTCAAGCTCAAGCCCTTTTGAGCCAATCGTTCATTAATTTATCTTCTAACGTAACCCCACAGATCATGGCAAGACTGCCTCAAGACGACCGGCGACCGCCCGACAGGCCGCGTGACAGACGTAGAAGAAGGCCACGAGTACGAGTTCCGAGTGATGGCCGTCAACAAGGCCGGCCCGGGAGAACCGTCCGACCCTAGCAAGTCTGTCATCGCTAAGCCTAGATTCCGTAAGTGGGCATACAACATTGTTTTAGCGTGTAAAAAACCGCAAACAATTTTCAGTCCAAGATATCTTCGTTCGTAATTTAAGGCGATTAGTGTCCTCAATCCGCGCCAAATGGGCATTTTGTAAAGCCTACTCCTCTTTTACTGCTGGACAGAAATAGTTGAAAAAAATATATGTTATACAACAGTTCAAGGACTACATTTGTGACGTTTGAATATTCGCTACGTCTTTTTGTTTTGGATTAAAAAAATAAATACGGGACATCGATTTTTTACTTAAATTCCCTACTCCTCCAAAACGGCTATGTTAATTTAAAAGATTTTTGCAAGAATAGATTGGGAATTCTTTAATCTTTATATGACACGTTGCGTTTTTCAATCGAACATTACTTTCATTCATAAATTTTACTTTTGATAAATTCCGAACGTTTTGCTGTTGAGGGGGCCTTCGCGGGGTGCGGGCGGCAGTCGGCCGCTGGCCTTCAGACGGGGAGGTTGTGTCACTCGCTACAAACTGACATTAGCGATCAAAATGACAATTAGCAACTACCTGCCAATAATATTTTTCACAAAATCGCTTAAAAGCACGGAAATTTTTCCTTGTCGCGACAAGATCGGTGTAATAAATTGCGGAAACAGATGTATGTTGTATTGAATTAAGCATTATATCACGTTCATGTTTCCAAAGATCACACTCCCACAAGATATGATGGGCAGACTGCTCATGACTGACATCATCAGTGGAACACTCGCAAAAAGGAGACGACTATAGTTTGAATTCGTGAAGTTTATGTTTAAAGTTGCCATGTCCCGTGAGGAACTGCGACGAGCAATGGTCGATTTCTAACCATCGCCTAGTTAGACGTTCGCGTAAATTCGGGAAGAATTTATATAAGTGACGTCCTTTGACTGACGTATCCCATCTTTTTTGCCATTCATTAAGTAAATCTTCTTCAACGACTTCTCGGGAATCAAATAAACGACTTATTTTAAGAAATCAGAGGTTATATTTTCCCTTGATGCGAAGTACATAGCCGCACGCTTTTGTACCTCTAAGTCGACCGGGACGACCGGCAGTACACCAGCCATCTGTTTCCGCAATTTATTACACCGATCTTGTCGCGACAAGGAAAAATGTCCGTGCTTTTAAGCGATTTTGTGAAAAATATTATTGGCAGGTAGTTGCTAATTGCTCATAAGATAGGCCCCCTTAATTTAATTTATTGTCCGTGGTGCATAATCNACCTATCGCCTTAACGGATATACTACTTATATACTTTTTTTTAAATACATACATATTAATACACAGTAACACCCAGACCCGTCACAGAAATTAAAATTCAATAAAAGACATTAAAAGATGCCACGATTGACTTTTTTACCTCAAGTAATACTAATAAATAAAGTTTCAATAAAGGTATCGCCCATTACTCCCCAACCCGTCTGGCCAGCGTGGGGAGTATATGCCAAATCCTCCATATGCCTCTGGTAACTTGAGAGGGTCGAGGTCTCCTGCAGTGGAGACTAAATGACCTGATGATGATGATGATGATGATGTAAGGTATTGCATTAAGTATTTCTCCTGGTAAAACCAGACCAAAATCCATGCGAACGAAACTGCGAGCTGAAGCATGACATCCTACAAATATTTTAAATGCGAAAGTTTGAATGTCTGGATGGATGTTTGTTACTCTTTCACACAAAAACTATTGAACGGATTTTGATGAAACTTTACAGTATTATTCTTTATAACCCAGAATAACATATAGGCTATACTTAATTTATGACGATCTGTGACAAACTAAATTTCACGCGGATGAAGCCGCGGGCAAAAGCTAGTAGGTTATATTTCAATAACATAATAATGTGACGTAGGTATTACATGTCTTTCCATCTTCTTTCTCATAGGAGGTCATACGAAGCACTTAAAAGTTCTTTGTTTATTCTTTTCTTACACGAGTTTTCTCGAATGACCTAGAATCTAGAAAACAATTAAAACTTAGCTACTTACACGTGTTTGCTTTCTAGTAGATTTCTCAGTAAAAAATAATCGAAATACTCATTTTTGTTGTGGCTTTGATAGTCAGATAAAAATGTTAATTACTTTACTCGTAAACTGAGATAACTAAAAAAAAGCTAGTAAGCTGCTCGATTGTTGTGTTGAACCCATTCGTGACACAAGCATATTTAGCTTAGTACGAGGGGCTTACGGGACTTTTAGTAATTTGTGTAAAAAAATTACTAATAAATCTTTTTTTAGAAAAAGAAATATGAAAACCACATTTATTTATTTGTATTTTAAATCTAATTTATTTTATTTAATTATGTAATTAATAATTAAAATCTAAATTTATTGTAATTTATTATAATTGTAATTTATTATTATTGTAATTCATAATTAATGTAAAATGAATTTATTTTTATTATTTAATTTTTATGGTGCTTTTTTGTTTATTTCTTTTTGTTTGTTTGTTTTCTCTTTTTCTATTGCGCCCCCCTGCTGCGTTCTCCCTGCTGCCGGACTTGTGGACTCCTTTCTCCTCTTGCATCTCCGTCAGCAGGGGTACGCCGTGACAACAGAGGGCCCCCGCTGAAAATCAGTTTCAAGACAAGCCCTGGCGGTCTTGATGTACGCTGAGCGGGTGCCTTTTTGTCAGAGGGGCACAAGCAGTTAATTGTCCACTTGTTTATTTCTCTCTGTTTTAATCTATGTCTTACCTGCTTGTATACCTTTTTTGCAAATAAAAAGTTTTCTATTCTGTTCTGTTCTGTTCTGTTCTGTTCTGTTCTGTTCCGTTCCGTTCCGTTCCGTTCCGTTCCATAGCATTGCATTGCATTGCATTGCATTGCATTGCATTGCATTGCATTGCATTGCATTGCATTCCATTCCATTCCATTCCATTCCATTCCATTCCATTCCATTCCATTCCATTCCATTCCATTCCATTCTATTCTATTCTATTCTACATTGATGTTGAGGAAATCGTTCATAAAACCCCTTCATCATTAGCACCGGCCATTATCGCAACCCTTGTAATCCTGAGGAAGAATGTACATAAAAATTCGCAGGTTCATTAATTCCGTGGCGCAATTAGGACGAAGATTAATTGACTTTGTAATTACTTGGAGCTGGAGTAGCACTGTCCAGTTACCTACTTTGGAATAAAATTTTACCTCAGAGAGAATATACATTTCTAGGTAACTATGAAAATAGCTACGTACTAAAAATAGGGTAGACTGTAGACTCTGCAAAATTATATTTTCTTATATCTTAATAAAAAATCAATGCTAGTAGACACTCCGCTTCACAATAAATCATAGTAACGATTCATGTGGGTGGATCTCAGTATGCCATTAAATAAAATATCACAACTTCAGGTATCAAACTAAGCACTATTCTTCTTCTTCTCAGTCGGTAAACTCTTGCCAGAGTAGTTGTGGTCATCATCACAATCAGTGATCCACCGACCGAGAAATCCGCCATGCTAGGTGACACACGGCACCCACTTTTTAATGACAAAGCACATGATGTCATACCCTGCATGCCCAAATAACTGCACGCGGAACGATTTAATGAAGGCTACTGACAACGCCACTCTTGTGGCGAAGTTTTAGGCTGACACTGTTATTGGTTTGTTGTCGACACGACAAGAAGAAGTGATGATGTTCGCAATACGGCGGCATTCCTCGCGGACTGCACCTTACCGGTCACTTTCGTTAACCGAACACTTAGTTGCGGTCTGGAAGCGCTATAGGGTGGTTATGTTTTGCAGCAAAAATAAACATAACTTTAAAGGGATGAAGTGGCGGATAAAAATGTTTACGGGAGACTAAGTCGTCGCAGACGAAAAAAACAAGCTCTCAAGAGATAACTTGACCGGGAAAAAACTAGCACAAGCCGGGTAGTAGAGTGTCGTGTACAAGCACTGTCTACAAGCTTTTTAGGACGTCTGTGCTTGTTCAGACAAAGTGGAATATTCATAAGACTGTTTAACTTGGGCTGGTGTGCGTTTTGGGATTTGGTTACTGATATACAGTCCATTTCTGAGCGTAATCTACACTCTGGAGGTTAAGGAACGCCACTAAGTAGGATTTTTCTACTTCCCTGACAATTATCTTCTTGCCCTGACGTGGTATCAAAATATTTAATAATAAATTCATTTTTAATTTAACCTAAAGTAATCTAAACTATAGAAAATATATAAATATTCTTCAAAATAAACGACCCAATGTGGTTGATAAAGTAGAGGGCAATTGGACATCGGTTTGCGACAGCGTGATCGATTCGCGGCGCCCTAACTTGATGACATCGATCAACTGGCTGAAAGATTTAGTTCAGGAATTTATTGTATAGAGAAAACATATTGATCATTATATTTGAGTAATAGCCCGAAACTTCTTTTTATTTAAAGACAGTCATATAGATTGGTACATTAGGCTTACTTAACGCCATGTGATAGGGCATTCTCTTCTCGTTAACCTTGGCGTTGTTATGGCGGTACATGTAATAAGCTAAAGAAAAAAAAGAAAAAAAAAGAAAAATTATCTTAAAACAATGCAATATTCATCTACTATTCGTTCCTTAGGAAGTGATCTCCAAAACTTGCTGATACTCAATGTTGTCTCGCAAACAGGAAGTTATGATATTTTTATTCCCGAGTGTCAGGAATTTTGTTTTCCTGGAAATAAATAGATAGTGGAGAATGTAACTGGTCCGTTTGTGATTGTGACATACTTAAACTTATTCTGAATAACTTATTACTTCTCCTAAGACTTTCACCCTCTCAAAACCATCCATCATTTACGGTCCTCATTTTCACACCATTCGATCAATAAGTCAGGACATACTACATTTAGTAGACTGACAAAAAAGTATACAAAACTATCCACACTAAAAAAGTGTACAAAATAGTTTTGCTTACCGTAAACACAAAGTAATTGAACTCAAGAAAATGGAAAATACGGATGGAGGAAATTTTTTCCGAACGAAATGTATTATCTTAATTACGTTTCTCGAGATTACTGGGGTGAGATGATTTCAATATTATTTCAATAAACATTTTCGCCTTTATGGAAATGTGAAATTGCTTTCGCGATTTCAATGTTTCTTTGGATTATTTCAAGGTAGGTTTTTGCATGCGGCTTTCCTATTTGTACCTATCAATCTTCATCGGTAAATCGAGCTTAATGATCTCCTGTAGTTACCTACTCGTAGCAGCAATTTTGCGACAAAAAAGTAAGCGAGTAAAGTTCTAAGATATACAATGATTAAAACTTTTACCGTGACTTTAAGCACACTTTAAGCAACAAGTTTAAGTAGCCCACTTGTCACTTTACTCGGAGGTAGTGAACAAAGACCATAATCTCATGACTCAAGATATAATTTAAGAAACGTCATAATAACAAGATGTAATGACGAAATCGATACATGGAACTATGCCACCATTTCTAGTGTGGAAATAGCAAGATACGAATGTTGCATGACTTTTCAATCCATCAAAACCTGTTTGCAGATGTATATATTGGATTGTGTTGTACCGCACATATTCCTTTTGCGCATCCACAAACCGCAGGGGAAATGCACAATTCCAAACACGGTGGAAGGAAGTGTGATTTCAATTTGAGCCAGGTAAAAGCATTGTGTTGTTCTGTTTATCATCCATTTCTAAATGGAGTACACATATGGTGCATAGTATCCATTATAGTGTGTTGTGTAGTACATAATTAAACCATCTCTTAAGCTAATATTATCTCTACTTTTATCTTTCTTCTCGGCTGTGATTTTTAAATCTCTGACAGTAAGCTGCCACAAGCATCTAACATGGCACAGTTACGAGTATGACAGAGATACTTCGGTGCGTATTTTTAAACTAAAAGTCAACAGTTTTCTTTAAGATGTTCGAATATAAACTTAACTATAGAGAAATCGGAATTTCCGATATCTTTTCTGATCAAATTCAAATGAGTCATTTGTTACTTCAATAACAATCCAACACTAATGAATCGTGTGAACATCATCGAACTCTATTAATAATGAAAGTCAAACAAAATAATGTTTGTCTTCGCGAAAACTATTGTAATATTAAGACGAATTTTCAATTTTAGCAGCTAGTATATTACAATTTCAACCTCCTCACTGAAAATTCGACAATTATCCGCTCTTCATCTTAATTCAATGAAAACTCTTAAGCAAATCCAAGACTTCAGACCCATTTCATCAACTAACCGTGCTTATTATTATTACAATTGGAATTATTTTCCCGCAGCAAAGGAGGCATTTAAATGAGCCTTTTAGCATTTTAAACCAGTTCAACAGTCATGAATAAAGTATTAAAGTATTTTCATTTAAAATTCGGGCGCGAGGCGAATCTCAGCCGAGGTGATGAAGGTCGAGTACCTGTTGTTAATCTTGCAGACCTTAAAGCAGGTATCTTTGTTTTTACTGCTTGTAAACAACTGGTAATAAAACCTCTTTAACATTTATGACAATACTTTAAGTGATTATTTTTTTAGTTTTTCTTTAACTTAATTCAGTCTACACACCGAACATTCCTGGACAAGCTGTCAAAAGTCATAGAAGGTAGAAGTCGTCGACATGATTCTTTTGAAATAAAGCCGCCGGCAGAGTCCTTTAGGATTTGAGTCTTGTCAAACGTCTCACGAATGAACCTAGCAATTTAGTCTACCGTTATATTATTTTTCGTTAAAATTAAAATCGAAAATCAGTCATAGAAGTTACAATGACAGTAGGTACCTCTGTTATTGAAGAATCCCTTCCAAAAATAAAGTCTCAACCCAAAAAGTAGCAAGAACACTTGAATAAACAGATAAGTATAATGGAAACACACAAAGGAACGAAACCCGAGATCACTTGACTTATCAAATACGCGTATTTTCCCTATTTTTTCGTGTTTGTTCAACTAAGAGCACACAGTTTAAATAAAAGTAGTAGACTCATTAAATAACAAAAGTAACAACTTTTATAGCCGATAGTAAAGTAAGCTTTATTAGTAAATAAATAACTTACAAACGAAGGAATAGTGGACAACCAAATACTTTGCTAAATCTTGTTTTCAAAGACTACAGCTTTATAAGTTTAATATCTTTGATATAAATAAGCTCAGATAAGCGCAAATTGTGTGGCAAGTATTAGTGAGTATGATACATAGTTCATAGAACTGATGGACAGAAAAGTTCTCTAGTGGCAACCACGAAACGGAAGACATAATGTAGAGCCTCCCACTCGGTGGACAGATGATTAGCTGAAGGATGCGAGCAGCTCAGTACCGGTCGTTGTAGAAATTGAAATTGAGTCTTTAAGATTATTGTTGACGTCACATGACCGTACTTTTCAATCCTATTAAGGTTCAGCCAAACCAACGCAATCACACGCGATCAGCCGGCGTACAGCGATGGCGATCAATGCATTTAAGTTTGATCGCCATCGCTGATCGCGTGTGATCGCGTTGGTTTGGAAGAACCATTAGAAAATATAGAGGGTCTACTCATCTTAATTTGATTGTGACGTAGTAAACGGAAAGTTTTATGTTCAAGCTCGGATAACCGCGGAGTTTCTGCGGAACAAGCTCTCACTGATTTCACTAACTTACTTTGAAAACTCGTGGAATATTTTATATAGTTCAAAGATCAGTCGGTCTGTATGTGCGACTCTATATTTCATATGTGGCTTGTGTACATAAGTAGTTTTAGTTAGGTACTTGATGTTTGAAAATAAGAAGAAGATACCTATACAGGGTGTTAGGTAAATAGGTATATAAGCCGCCGACACTAGCCCATGTTAACCTGGTCATATAAATGGTCTGGTGAAGTCAGAAAATTGATATCTTCATTTTAATTATTTTAATTTTCATACAAATCGGATTTTATAAAATTTATTTTGTATGAAAATTTAAAAAAATAAAATGATTATATCAAATTTCTGACTTCACCATACCATTTATATGACCATGTTAACATGGGCTAGTGTCGGCTCATATACCCATTTACCTAACACCCTGTATAAAAAGTTTCCGTTACTTACGCAATATTAGAAAAATAATAAGAACTTACATAGTTGTACTTCAGATCTGGGTGCATGTAGTCCACACCTGTAACAAAATTATGATGTAAATAAAGAGCATGTACTTGTACCTACAATATAAATTCCCACTCAAAGCTGGAAAATTAATCAGGAACTTACTTATTGTACGTAAAAATATACTACTATAATTATAAAGTAATGAAACAAAAAAAAACACACAAATCTAGTGTGTAAATTGCATTGATTTGATTACTTTATAATTAGTTTAGTTTAACCAACTATTATATTGTTAGTTATATGGGCCATTATGTATTCTGTGCTACAAGCTATTTAATCGAAACGTAGGTACGCAAGAAAATCCGCGGCAAAAGTTAGTTATTTATAAAAGTATACGTAGCAATTGTTTTCCATTTGTATTAAGAAGAAAAAAGTTAAATAACGTTTACTTCAGTATAAAAATGCCTGTTAAATACCTTAAAAATACAACGCAAAAAGGTGCCGTGCTGTAAGCTTTATTTACATAATAAACATAAAAATAAAAGGAAAATGCAAACGCGCGAAGTTCATGAAAACTAAATAACGGTCTGAAACATCCTCTGTGGTAACACAAAGGTGTTTGTAAAGCTTTAAGCTTTTACTGCTAAAAAGTTTACCAAGTATTTTCAAATTAAAATACGTGTTTATGGCAACCATTTTTAGGACAAAGTGTTGAGTAAAATGGTACATTTTTTAAATAATTCTTTGTTATTTTCTTAGTTGCTGAATTTCAGAACTTTTTTGTTAGCGGTTACTGCCCATTAGTCGGGGCTCTCTATAATAGAAAAGTTAATTGCTTTTATTCATAATGTGGCATACAATATCATGCAAATGCGCGTTTATTATATCTATAGTTTTAATTATAGTTTAACCACTACAAACCACTACACCTGGCGGCCATCATACTCGTATCATAAATCATAATTAACGTACTAACATAAAATATGTAGGATTACGACAATTATTGGCTACATCAGACACCAGTATCCTACAATCGTAGCAGTAGTAAATACATGCACAATACATGATGAAAATTGTGAGGAGAAAATATGTATATTTTTTATTACTAGCGGCCGCCCGCGATTTCGTACGTGTGGATCCCGTTTTACCCCCTTAGAGGTGGAGTTTCGTAAAATCCTTTATTAGCGGATGCCTACGTCGTAACATCTACCTCATCTACTTGCATGCCAAATTTCAGCCCGATCCGTCCAGTGGTTTGGGCTCTGCATTAATTGATCACTGTCTCAGTCAGTCAGTCATCTTTAAGTTATATACATATATTTAGATTAAGTTAAAATGCTCACCATCATCCATGATAGCAGTGGTGACATTCACGCCAGTATACCCCTGTGCCCACGCCGCCTCGACATTAAGGTCGAGCTTCGGCTTGCCCCCATTCTGGCCGGTGTTCTTGAGGTACCACTGCAGAGGGAAGTAGGGGTCACGCGGCTCGTCGGCCGGGGCTGTCTCCGGCAGCCGGAGGGGGCGAAAGCCCCGCTTCACCCGCTTGAAGCCGGTCTGCTGGACTGCTGCGTGGACCTGTAGAGAAGATAGATGTTAAGGTAAAGTCATAAAGTTCCAGTAGAAAATAGGAACGATCCTTCCACTCTCCCAATGGATGCTCCCTGAGGGCCTTCAAATTAAAGGAAACGCTGCAGTGACGCCACTGTAGCGCGTTGGCCGCACCACTACTACTACTAAGTAGTTTTTATTTTTAAATGCGCAGTTGCAGCGCCACTACCGTTTGCGTTTGTTACGTCCTAAGAAACGACTAAGGATCAAATATGCGAAAATCATGATCCCTCCATCATGATCATGGTGAATAAAAGAGAGGTTGAGATGTAAGGCTGTGTGGTTCTGGCAGAGCAAAATAGGACCTTTCATCTTCACATGGATGTCGTAAGAGGTGACTATGGGACTAATAATATGCGAACATCAGACGTTTCTAACCCAACTTTTATTACCCACAGCTAATTCATGTCAACCTGTTTATTAATTTTATGATGTGCATCATAAACATTATAACTTAATAGAGTTTTAGGTCTTCAAATAGTCACAAATATCTAGCGATCACAAACTTGAATTGAAAAAATCTGTCGACACGCTTTGATCACGACTAACCTTCATATAGGACTTGAATGAATATCCCTAACGCCCAAATATTGGTAGGAAGATTTATATTTTCATTTCCAGCATGTTAATAAATCACAGCAGCCTCAGAGGGTCGGTGACACGAGCCCTGGCAGATTGTCACTCAGCATTACGAGTGATGGATGTAATATAACAAAACAAAACACAAAAGCGAGCGAAAATGATACCGGGTTGAATGTATCTTTAAAATGGATAGGATCGATGACGTATTTGTTCATTTGTTTTTCATCGACGAAAAAGTTACCACTGATTCATTTAAATATGAACCACCAAAACAAACTTAGCTACCTTTTTGTCGGTTAGAATGAAGGTATTGCTACTCCATCATCGCAAATAATGAACGCCGATTATCCGAACGCCGATTAACCGAATCGCCAATATTATCCGAATCGATCCTAAGCATAATATAAAAAATGAATACCAATTAATTTTTGTTTTTTATTGTTGTAACAAGTAGGAACTCACTGGAGACCAACTGAGCGTTATTGTAGAACTGTAAACACATCTATAATAACGCTCAGTTAAACTTAATAAAGTTTATTATTTGTGTGACAGTTTTCTTTAGTACCAGTCTATGTCCGATTATCCGAATTTTCGATTATCCGAATCGACCCCGGTCCCAATTAATTCGGATAATCGGCGTTCTACTGTACTCCAAAATGCTACCTTAATACAAAAAGGTATTTTTACAATGAAAGGCACTAATTTCTTTGAAATAAAAATAAACCTGAATACATTTTAATACACAAACTGTGTCCCACAGATAGGTAAAGGTCATTCCTAAATCCTTACGAACCCATTCAAAGGTATTTGTATTTACGAACATGCTTATTTATTAAAGTAATACAATAGTTATTTTTAGTTGCAGTCCCTCTAGGATTATGCCCATTAAATCTGGTCACGGGCCTCTAATCCCTAAAGGAGAAGACTGAGTGCCTTATCATCTGAACGTCAGAGAAGGCCTTATCTTTTCATTTACTTGGATATTAATAAATCACAACGGACGTCAGACGGCTGATTGTCACTCAGAATTACGAGTGATGAATGTAGGAGACAGAGTTTGTTGCTGGAATATGATAACACGAATCCCATAAGTGAGCGAATTTGATATGGGGCTAAATATATCGAGTGACAGTAAAGTAGATCAAAGCTTTGTATTCATCTCTTGTTATGGCGTGACGACATGGCAAAAATAGAATACATGGATTAAGTATTTTGACCTGGCTAGTTTATGAACATTAAATTATTGATACGTAAGAGGTTCACTAGTGAGTGAGTCTCTTACGCTGCCTCTTTTCAGTGCTGGCCCATATTATTATTCAAGTGGTTTAAGGTTAATAAATAAGTTCAACATACCTACCTAACTTGTTAAGACTAAAACTGTTTTTTAAAAGCTAACTTACTGTAAATGAACTACATTTATAGAGATTACTTATTTTGAAGACTTTATCACGAAGTAGTAGTTATTCTATGCTAAGTTTACATTTTGAAATTTCGTATTTTACCAAAGACGGTAATCGCGCCTGAAACTATTAATCAAAGTAAGATCGAGCACTCTGATTAAATTAAATTATAAATCGTTCCCTCACTATTCCTAGAAGCCAGATTGAATTTTGATAACTTCTATAATATCGGCTCATAATTTAAAGGCAGGCTTAAAATAACAATTCTTGAAGCGCTAAATTAACTTGTATCGAATGTAAATTAACTTGATTTTGAACTTGCGTATGTGGGAGTAAGTAAATTAACTTGCAAGTTACGTTTATCGGATGGATGAAATATAATAGGTATACTTTAGAAGTCAATTTAACTTGTCGATAAAATGTTCCCTGGGTATTATACTGAAGATCAGCGTTATCTTCGCACGAGTAAATAAACGTTGTTGTTTTTGTCCTCAGATATTATCTTATACAACAGATGAACATGTAATTTAAGTTATATTATTTGAAAGTGTTAATAGCTAATGTTATCAAGTTATCACAAACCATCGGGACTAAGTTTAAAAAGATAATACCTAGGAATAGCTAAATACCTTATTAAAATAAGTTTATTAAGGCTGAGTTTCACCATTTTATTTCAACCGTAAGAATAACATTAACCGGTGCTTATTGTATGGAGTTTGACAGATTTTTGACGTTTGTCAAAGTTAAAGTAAGATGGTGCAATCCAGCCTAAGAGGACATTCTTTCCCAAATCGTCATTGGGTTTCGCCGAACTCTACATTGACATTTAAAAAAAAAATTAACTTCTCAGGTAAGAAAATGCTCAGCTTTTCATCTGAAAAATGTGTGAAGCGTGATTCTTTTAGCCTCTGTACCTATTATTGAAATGGAAATCATAGCGATTATTACACAGGCATTGGACGTAAGTTGCTTTTAAAATTAAGTTTATGTATTACCACGAATCACAATCGTAATCATGGCCATGAAATTCTCCCAAGATCGATTTAGAGCCACCACAACAGCAACAAGTAATCAATGAAAACCATTGTTTGTGAAATATAAGACAACAATTAAAAATAATTTTCTTGCTCCTAAGTCCTTTGTATCGAGAGCATTGTTCTGTTCTTATTATGAAGGCGATTCTTTTCAGCACAACGATAATACTACGGACCTTTTTCTCGGAAAATTTCTTTTATTGGGGTCCTAATAGAACACCTTTATTAATAACCTCAGCCATGAAAGGAAGGGGACTTCCAAGGTAGGGATACCTTGAACTCACAATATTAATAAACATTACTTAGATCACGTTTACAAGTTAAGTATGATTTGTACCTCAATTAATGGGGACATTATGTATGTGTGTACCTTTAAGTATGTCCTAATCTTTTTGAAAATCAGGTAAATGATATAAGCTGATATTTACTCTTATGTAATGTTATTTTATGTCTATTAATTAGGGACTAGAAAGAACACAAATAAATTTAATTAATGTTACATTTTGTGCCTTAGTTTATCTTTTTCAGTATCTATGTATGGTAGGTACTTATTCAAGTGGGTGTTTAAAACATTTTGCCCCAGTTTACCAGGTTTAGAATAAAAGGGCTTAGTGTAAGTTTACATCAAACGTCGTCACTAGCGAGCGGGTTAATAAACTGAATGAAAATTTTAGTTCTTGAAAGTTTCCGCTAGGGGCGCTGTACAACACGTCATACTTTGAATGACACTTTTTTACGCAGTCGATTTCGAATGCGTTTGACGTAAACTCACACTACGCCCTAAAGCCTTGATCACACGTACCGAGTAAACGGGTGAGACATTAAAATGTTTACTCGGTCGAGACAGTTGGGTGAGCGAGTCACATACTCGAGCGCTCGGCCGAGCACTCGGCGTAATGTTCATACACACCAAGTAATCGGCCGAGAGCACTGTCTCGCCCATTTGCTCGGTACATGTAATCAAGGCTTAAGTTCGTACTTACGAGAGGGTGTTGCTTGAGAAGGCGCGCGTGCGCGATGGAGCGGCGCGAGCGCGCGTGCGGTAGCCCGCGGTGCGCGAAGTGCCACTCTGTGTCAGACCCGAGCAGCTGGCGACAAAGAAACAATTGACATTAAAATTATGAAACAAAAAACTATAGTCTTAAACAATTTATTCTAATTTTGAGTTTGACACTGGCCACAAAGAGTTCGTAAGTTTTTATTTTATAAAACAAGATAAATAAATCCGTAGGTTCATCATAATAATATCATAATATATACCAAAAATTTCAATAATTGTTGTAACGTTTTTTTAATTTTAAGTCAATACCTAAATTAATGATCAAGTTTGTGAAATAGTAACGTCAAAGCTTCTTTTGCCATAAGAATCCAATCCATGGGAGAGTCGGGTAAAAGTAAGACTATGCTCATTTTATTTCATACTAGCTGACCCGGCGAACTTCGTACCGCCTTAGCGTAGAGATTTTCTTAATATTTTTTTCCGTAAGAACCATCCTTGGACTTCCACAAACATTTAAAAAAAAGAATTATCGAAATCGGTTCAGCCGTTCACACGTGATGCCGTGACAACGCGAAACGGGTTTCATTTTTATATATATAGATTTCGATAGAGCGAAAATAAATCATACTCCTTTAAAACTATGGTAATGTTATTTATAGGTTTTTATATTTATCCTTAACCAAGTATAGTAAAGGTAAGGTGGGAAAAATAGCACGTCATTGGAAAAAAATCTTAGAAAATTCTGTAGTGGATGCCTCGTACCGAAAAGCACAGCATAGGACGTCCTCCCACAAGGTGGACCGTCGACCTCATAAAGGTAGCAGGAAGGCGCTGGATGAAGGCCGCCACGTACCAGCTATTGTGGAAATAATTGGGGGAGGCCTATGTTTGAGCAGTGGACGTCCTATGGCTGAAATTATGATTATGAAGACCACCTTGAACCGTTCTCAGGTAATAACCTATAGTAAACAAGAACTAAAGCTAGAGTCCTTTACATACCCTCACCAATATTAGTAGGATATGTATAGTTCACTAACTTTATCAAGATACCGAGCACAGTACTTCAAGTTTGTGAGGCGCACGCAGACACGACCTTAATTTACTAAGTTGCCAACCTACTTGACAATCTTCACATTCGAGATAATTAAGTTTGACACTAGCTTCATTCTCAGTGTCGGTTTGTTGATATTTTGTGTGTGACTGTACATGATTAAGCTCTCTCAGTGAAGTATAATGTAGAGAAATTTAAAATTGATCCCAGCTTTAGGCCTCGCCATCGAACCTAATGACATACCTATGTATTTTTTAAGTATAATAAACCTTTTAAAATATTTGTAAACAAGATTATTTTCGAGAAGCATTCGTCTAATATCAAAGTAGGAAATTAATTTTCAACAGGAAAAGAGATCGTGTTTATCTTGTTGTCAACATTCTAATAATTATATACTTTGCAGATTTTGCAGCATATAATATTTCAAACGGTAGGTAAACAAGTGGATTCCTAGATATTTTTGTTAATTTTATTACTCGTACTTACACTAGATTTATTGATAGGTACTGAAGCACAGCGTTTTTCGTTAAAAAGCTGAAACATTTCACTGAAAAGTCTAATTCATTAAATATAACCTACGTCCATCAAATCCTAAAGTTAATGAACAAAATTCTGTGGGCACGATTTAACAAAAGAAGGCACCAAAATGGTGCCTTAATTAAAAACTTTCCTAGTTTTCCTTCAGCTTTTTCATATCTACAACTTCATTTAATTTAGTATGACATCGTTACGGTTTTAGGAAAGAACTAGAGAAGAATTCAAATATAAAAAGAGTTTTAAGTGCCTTTTTCCTGGGATGGGATTCCTCGCATTTCATTATTTCATACATGTTTTTCAGATTACGCGTGCGACACGCACGCGTGCCGAAATCCGCATTACCTGAAAAAGGCACTAAGGGAAGTTAAAAAACAAAAACTAATATTTGCCTTAAAAAACTCTTCAAATTACGTCTTCAGACGTATATCAGCTCAAAGGGGAAAGTGCTTATCTACCCTTTGAAAGGTGACACACTTGCCTACTGTTGTTTGTATAATATAGCCTATATTTTCAGCTGAGCCACTTCAAAGTCAAAGCTTTGATTCCCAATACGGCGCCATGTGTGTTTATGTAAATAGACTATTTCCCAGACTCTGGGTTTAGGGTAGGTTTATATAGCTCACGATCATGTGTGTAAAACTAGACTTACAATGCTTCAGATTAGATAGGTAATATTATACAAAACTAGCTTTCCACCCGCGGTTTCGCTCGTGGTTTTCCCGGAAATTAATCGAATTTTTCTCGCAGTAAAAACCATCCTTGGACTTCAACGAACATTAAAAAAAATTGTAAAATTGGTCCTGGCGTTGTTGAGTTATGCGCTTACCAAAATATTTGGCAATTTTTATATTATAGAAGATATCTACATTATTTATTGTACCATTTAGAATATGAGAGAAGTTAGTCAAACGTTCCCAAGAAGCATGAAGATTGTTTACAGTCATATGATTGAAGGTAGAAAAAGGAAATAAAGCTCTTTGAACTGAAGGGCTTATTATTTTTATCCTGTTTGCTTATGCCGTTTCTGTGTAATATTTTTATTTTATTTATCTTAAGGCACGACCACAGAATAGAATTAAAAAACAAAGATAACTAGGTTTCACATTTAAATTATATTCCTATTAATTCTGCGCATAGCATTATACGTAAATACCTACATAAGAGATATGAGCTTGAACAGGTTATTAGCCTATTAGTTTATAAATATTTAGTTTCAACGGTCTATCGTGCTTAACTTGAATAAAAAATATTATTTATTAAAATGCTAATTGCTTAACGTTTAACTGCCCACTGGGGTTTGTCCACTGGCGCCCAGGCATTATGCATACAAGCACTCCGTATTAACCGGATAGGTTTCATGAACATGAAAGCATTTGCAAGTCAAATAAATAATGTAATTATTCCGGCACTGGGATCGTGCGCAAACTGTAAATACTATTACTGAGTCGGGTTGGATAATTGTGCTTAATTCACATGACACGGTTATGGTAATTAAATGAAAGTAACCTGATTTTACCGTTCAAAAGGCATATTGACGGTTTTGACAGTAATTTAATTGATGACTTTCCACAAGTTCATTGTCTACGCACGGACATTGCCCGCGGGCGGCGTGAACGGAAGGAGCAGCGAGCGGGCGGCGAGCGTTCGGCGAACAAACGAGCAATGTTCGTTTCGCGAGCGAACATCCACGAAGACGACCCTGACGCTTGCCATTGTAAATTCTAAATCGAATAGATAACTAATTTTATACAGTCCACTTGTTATTTTTATTAACTTCCACTACCCATGTTATGGAAATAACATCAAGTTTTTTTAAATTCTTTGTGTTTACTGAATAAAAACGTAATGATCAAAGCAGACGTAAAATGAATTTATTTAAATATCAAAATTAATTTTATTAAAGCTTTGGCAGTTCGATCCCAATTTCTAAGCTGCCCATTTCACGCCCTGAAGTAGAGTAATTTAGCTCTCATCTTTTATTCAATAAACCTGTAATCAAAATATTGTGTAATCAAACAGTAAACAATTAATCTGTCAAGGGCAAAGCAATCATAGATCAAAGTAATCAAATAAGCCTTATAACCTTGACAATATTCAATCAAACGAGCCCTTTCAATTAAATTGCGAAGTACTCGCAAATCCGCTTCCTTATTTCTCGTCGGCGTTAAATTGCGTTCATACCATTTAACGTACAAATGTACGAACAGTAATTTGTTCAGATTTATTAGTACTGAACAGAGCCTTTATGCCTGCGCAAATGAAAACCGACTTTATGACCGGGCTGTAAAGTCCAAGAGGCAGTTACTTTTACGACCCGATCCTGCGAACTGTTAGTGTTTAGGAAAAATGAAAGAGCTTTCCAGCTGTAGGGGCAGATTTATTAATTGTTTATTACGTTCTTAAGACTGTTCGGTGTTGAATAAAACGAAATCGCTGCCAATTTCCTTTTAACTCGCAGTTCACTGTTTTATCTTTTTTTTCTTATCTATTTCTATTTCTACGTTAACTCTAATACTAACAGAATATTCTCTCGATTTGAAGGTCCATGGTACAACTCTTGGAAAGGACATACAAATTAAAAAATCACTGTGTACTTATTTCATTTCAGATTAACTACATCTTCACAGTCAAACTTGAATTAAACTGACTGTCCAAAAAAACTGATTCCGTGTCATATAAGGTACATTAAACGTGTCGGTCTAATTGAGACTGACAGACGCCTACGTTCATAAAGCTCAGCTCATAAAGGCATTGCCGAAAGTCACATATTTCTGGTCCTTTGAGCCGGATGTCAGAGTCGTCGACATATAAATAATATACAAACTGAAGCACTTACGTACTATTTTAAGCACAAATTCCCACACTCCAAAACATGGCGCTAGATAATTAATAAGTTAGATGTAATTTCAAACCGTAGTTGATTTTACCCGGGATGTTAAATCGAATCCAGTTGCGAATTAAACAACCCCTGAAGTTCAATTAAGTAAAGTTTAGTAACTTGGGGACTTGTAGACATTTTGAGATTCAGCGTTTAGCCTATAATGTACCCTTTATAGGCTAATGGAGCGTAATTTGTAACTATTTCTGATAAATAAACAACACAGTTATGGCATAAAGTCCGCATCTGGTATCTTGTTTTAATGTTCAATAGCCAAAAACGTAGTAAGAGTAAAAAAAATCACAAAAAATACCATCAAAAGGCAATATTTCATATTTGAACATTATACGTACTTTAAGAAAAGATAACAGTTTCAAATCAGTAAAAGTTGTAACAAAGTGCGCAATGAAATAAAAAACTTCCGCCTTCGTAGCAAGCAACTGAAATGTCTTTCGTAGTCGCTACGAAATGCTACAGAACTACGATGCTACGATTCCGTACATTCCTTACGTTTCTTGAATATTCGCAGTCTTTTGTAAAAAACTTGAGCAATCGGTTGGCACAAAAAGAAAACATATTTATCTCACTTCTAAGAAGATTTACTACTGATCATTTAGCACGA